CTTTAGGGGGGGTGGGAGGGGAGAGAGAGAAACAGAGAGAAACATCAATTGGTTGTTTCCCACATGCACCCCGACCGGGGCCAGGGATCCAACCTGCAACCGAGCGAGGTATGTGCCCTTGGCCATAGTCGAGCCCGGGACCCTTCAGTCCACAGGCTGATGCTCTAACCACTGAGCCAAACCAGCTGGGGCAGATGTTCTTCTGAATGTGGCTTATTCACTACTTCCCTTGTCTTGGCAACCTATTGTGAAGAGAGAGAAAATCTGTAAAGATATTATGGATGGTGAGTTATCAAATTAGCGTCCCCAAGCCAAATCTAGCTTTCCTCTTGTTTTTGTAAGTAAAGTTTTATTGAAACACATACACACTCAAAAAGAATGAATCATAGATCCTAGACATAATGCAAATTTAATTTTCTCTAGACTTTTATTGATATATTTTATCATCGTCATTTTCAGTTTTGTTGTGTTTCTTCAGTTAATCAAATTGCTCTCACAAATTATTTTCATTTTAGATTTCAGCTTTTACCCACATTTTCAAATTGTAGATCTATTTTCCTTTGAATAGTTGAGTTTGATATATATTAATAGAATAGCTTTTAAGTAATGGTGAAATATTTATTAAAAGCATTTTTAGTGTAATTTTAATTTTTATACAAGAGAATTTCTGTCTTTGCAGAGTTCATTGCCAAATTTTAAACAAAATGAATTTTCCGTTGTTCGACAACATGAGGAATTTATCTGGCTTCATGATTCCTTTGTTGAAAATGAAGACTATGCAGGTTACATTGTAAGTGTTGAGGTTCCATTTTAATCCGATTTTTATAGGAGCGTTTTAGATACTTTGTGTTGAAATCTTGTTTAGCATTTTTAATGAACTAATGTAATTCTCAAAAATTTCCAGTTACAAAACATAATTGGTTACCGCCTTTAATCCTGAATTGTCTTGTTTGGAAATGTGTGAGTGTGGATATGTTATGCTCCCTCATTTAAACATAAATTAAATTCTTACTATATGTTAGAATTGTAATAGGATTGTCCTAGGAATTAATTAAGGGGGTGTTACAAACCATACTAGTTTTGAACCCTTAGGTAGGTAGATTAAATTTAGAGTTGGAGGGCTATTCAAGAGGTTATCTAATCTAAATATGTACCAGATGTTGTGCCTCAGCTGTTGACCACACTCAAATTTCATTGAAATCATCCTGACCTGATTCCATCTCCATCCTTGTGGCCACTCCTCAGTCATTTGCTTCTCTTTCTACAATAGGCAGTGCATTCTTTTTTTTTTTTTTTTCCAATTACCAGCTTATATAAAGGATACAACTCAGTAACAACCAAATGGAAGAGATGCATAGGACAAGGTATGGGGAGGGGAGTGGGCACAGAGCTTTCGGGCTCTTTCCAGGTGCCCCTCCTTTCCCCTTCCCAGCATGTCAATTATGTTCACCAACCTGGAAGCTCCCTGTTCTCTTTCTGTCCTGTTTCCACCTTGTTTTTCCCTCATCACCTTGTCTGATGGTATTTTCTTACTATTTTCTCCTTCCACAGACTAAACACTCCTCAAAGATCAAGACCCTGTCTTATTTATTTTTATATGCCCGTTGCTCAGCATCTTGCCTGGCACATAGTAGATACCATGTGCAGGCATCAACAGATGTGTGCCAGACTATACTTGATGCTTCTTTCCCTATTCTTTTCCTTGGTATAATCCTTTTCTTGAAGTCATTTTTATTTAACTTGTCCCTTACTTTTCTTCCTCTTATCTTACCTGCTTTCTTTAATTTCCATCATTTCCCCTTAACAGTTCTTACTTGTAGACCCTTTCTCCTAAGATAATTTTTTTTCTTATATCCTTCCTTGAATGATATTTCTCCTAGATTTTTTTTTTTAAATAATGCTTATTTACCCCATTACTGTGGGTGAATAGAATGAGATTAGTGTGTCTTGTTCTCTTCCTGTTTTTGAGCCAGTGCTTTCTGCTTCTGGTACACTCCTCCAAACCAGGAACCCTCTTTAACATCCCTTGCTTGATCTTACTGTTAGCATTCATTAATTTTTAAAAACACAGAATAGCAGGAATTCATTAATTTAAAAAATGCATTCAATTTTAATTAATACCATTTACGTACTTTTGAAAATGGTATGTATATTTGCTACACATATTTAGTGTATAGTCAGAGCTTAATGTGCATATATGTTTGAGGACTATAGGTTGCTACATAGGAATCTGCAGAATAAAGTTTAGGAACTATTGTTCTAATACTAGAAAATAATGCTCTGCTAGTCTTCTTCCTTGGGATAAATGATCTCAAGGATTTTATTTCAAGGATTTTAATTTCTAGACCTAGTAAAATTCTCTAACCTGACTTGGGATATTACTGGTACCCACTTCTCACTCACAAAGTCTTTTATGGTGGCTGTGTACATCTGCTGCAAGAAATAAAATAGTCTTTAGCCCAACCGGCTTGGCTCAGTGGTTGAGCGTCGACCTGTGAACCAGGAAGTCATGGATCGATTCCCGGTTTTCAGGCTCAATGCCCAGAGTGGGGTGTGCAGGAGGCAGCCAATCAGTGACTCTCATCATTGATGTTTCTATCTGTCTCCCTTTTCCTTCCTCTCTAAAATCAGTAAAAACATACATTGTTTTTTAATTTAATTTTTTGTAAATTAGTGATTTGGTTATATTATAGATCCCACCAGCACCACCAAGACCTGATTTTGATGCTTCAAGGGAAAAACTACAGAAGCTTGGAGAAGGAGAAGGGTCTATGACAAAGGAGGAATTCACAAAGATGAAACAGGAACTGGAAGCGTATGTGATTTTTGTTGTTGCTTTTGTTAACTGTGCTTGTTTTAATGCCCATCCCTTTTTTTGTGCTCTCCAATATCCCATCCTTTTAATCATTTCACCACAGTGACCCTTTCTGGAAGATGCAAGTTTAAGTCACACAACCAGTGTTAACGATCATGATCAGAGCTACAGGAAAATTATAGAATAATTATCCACATTGTAAAATTATTTAAATTAATGTTTTAAACAGACTCTGAAAATTAGTAATGGAGGATTCAAAAGTTTATTTAAAATAATAGAAAGAAAAATAATGACTTTTTAAAGCAGAATAAATTATTTTGTTTTTTATTTATAAGATCTTAGTCATTAGCAATCTGGTGATCTTTTTTCGACCTGTGCATACTACCAAAATTTCTATTTCTCATAGAAGTATGCACTGAGCAGTTCTGCACATATCCTGTTTTCTTTTTTTTTAAGTGTATGTGTGAGAGAGAGATTTAGAAAAAGAGGTAGGTTTTCCCCCTCTTTTCTCTGCCTGTAGCTTTTGGCTGAAGGGAAGAGAAAAAGAGCAAAGAAACAAGAATAGTTTTAACATGTTTTTCATTATATGATAATTAGTTCCATATATACTAGAAATGTATTAAATCTTTGAAAAATTGAGATATTTCTAGTTCATTTTTAGGGTATTTGTTGAAAATACAAAATATTTTCCCCTTTTATTAAACATTTAAAGTAATTTTGGATTTGCTGTATATTGTTTTTCTGTATTTTGAGAGTTTTACAAGGAAATAATTCTCCTTGCATTGTCATCCCCCTCATCATTCTTTTTCTGGTCATTTCTCCCCTTCGTGCTTTTCCTTTTTCCTCTTCCATTTAGTTTCAGTTATAAGCATATATTCACACTACTGCTAGACTCCTCTTCAGAATGCTAAACTTTCTTGACAAGATAAATTAGCAAAGTAGGTCTTCTTTGTCAAAGTGTAAGGTGACAGATATTTTAAGAATTCTGTTAGTGCTGGGTGCAAGCAGTAGTCTGATAGCAGATACATACTTCTATAGTTTATAAGACTGAAAACTGGAAATTAGCAGAGCACATTAATATTGAAGAATCTGTGGTTTTCCAGTGGCCCTGATCATGATTCTTTTGTGGTCTGGTTAGGGGTTGGATAACAGAGAACCTTGGGTTTATTCTACTGCTACCTCCATCCTCTGCATCCTTCTTTTTTGTCTTCACTGAATGACTACTCTCACAGAGATCAAACTTCTCCCAACATTGGTCCTGCTGGTTTGCTGGTATGTAAAACTTATCCTCCTTGCACGTAGTTGAAGAAAGAATATCGGGCCTTTTCCTTGAGTGTTTTTTGTTTTTTTTTCCAAACTGACATGTATTACTGTATTATCGCTGTGATTCACGATATTAAAATATTTAAACACAGTTCTTTGATGTAATGGCAAAAATTAGTCTCTCCGTGGTATTTCTTTCTTGTGTTTCTGAGTCATTAGAAGAAAATATTTATTAATGTTGAAAATATGCTTACTTAGGTTTGGTTTTGATATTTTTTAATATGAAGGTGTTAAAAGTAGTAATTATCTAGAAATTGAATCATGAAGATTGTATCCAATAATTTGTAGTATACTTTCTCTGAGGCTGAAAACAAACACCCCCATAGTTACCTTTAAAATCAACTTGCATAGGAAGAAAGGTTCATAAAACCAAAAATATTAACGTTTAACTATAATAAATACTATTAACTAGCATGAAGCCTTTTCAGAGCTGGGTTTTACATATTTTATTAACTGTTCAACTAAACCGTTGTTTACCTGGATTATATTTCTAATGTTGTATTTAGAATAATTCAAGAGTATTTGCTGAAAATATTATTGCAGATGATTTTCTAAATGATGCAGTGTTTTACCTTTAATTTTGTGTATTGTTTCTAGTGAATATTTGGCAATATTCAAGAAGACTGTTGCAATGCATGAAGTATTCCTGTGTCGTGTGGCAGCACATCCTATTTTGAGAAAAGATTTAAATTTTCATGTCTTCTTGGAATATAATCAAGATGTGAGTATTGAATTGATTAAAGTAGTGATCAAGGCTAATTTTTCAAGAGTCATTGGAAAAGGTAGGGAGTAGTTAGAAAAGGCTTAAGATCTTTTTTTATAATATTCTTATTTTTCAAGAAAGGCAGTTTAAAATGACTCTTTTTCAGTGGCATGCAGTATTTCAGTAGAACTTGAGTAGGTTAATTGAAGAAATGACAGTACATCATGTCACTACATGGGACCTTGGTTTTCGTCCTGAACTGTGAACTTCTTAAGAAATAAGGTTATAAAATTGATTAATGTTTCTTAAATTTGAGTTTGGAGTCTTCTGAAGCCTTATGGAGAATTCCAGGGAGGTGTTTGAGCTAAAGAATTATAGCTTGCTTTTGATCTGTTTAACTGGCATTCATGCTGATAACTCTTAATTTTTCTCCTTCCCTTCCTGCCTAAAAACTCTGTTATAGTGCAGAGAGAGATTGATGTGGGTTGAACTTTAAAGATTTCTTCAGATTTCTTCATTCATGGTGCTGGCCAAAAAAATTTCAGTGAGTGGGTGATGTAGATCTTGGGGTCTATCTTTGGATGACAAGATTAACTCATAATTTTAGCAGAAAACAAATACAGCAAGCATGGAGCTTGTTTGCTTACAAGTGTACATCAAGATCAAAACCTTTTTGTATATAAATTTGCCTTTCATGTTTGGTTTTAGTAGATACAACAATAAAATGGCCTAAGTCTAGCAGTAGAAAAAAATGAAATTTTTTAACAGGGTATGAAGTAATTCAGGATCACAGAAGTATAGCAGTTTAAGTATGGACACTTTCACAAGCATAAATGTGATATATGGTGCTGTCATGTGGTCTTTTATAAATAGAAATTGTAAAGAATGCTAGCTATATCATGAATTACAAGAAGCTAAAAACGATTCATGAGTAGGGTTACTAAGCAACATGTGAAAAACACATGATAGAATACTGTCATCACTTTTTTACTTTTTAAGTTTGTTTTTGCTGGACCTTACTTATGGCCTGGACTAAAACCTTAGTAATAATTTGGTAGTCTGCATAGGTGTAAATTGCCGCATGGTAGTATCAATTCAGGGCACTTGAGCAAGAGAAGCAGCAGCATTATGTTCCAAATACTCTATCCCATTGCCACAGCCTTAGGACTATCTGAGTTATATATCTGTACTTTTAAAGTTTGTTTATATATTTATTATCTATCTCCTTCTACGAAAATGTAAGCTGTCTGAGAATAAGACTTTAATTTTTCACCACTGTATCCTATTTTAGAATAGTGCCTGATAGTTAAGATATAAAATAAACATTTGTTAAAATAATTAGTGAAAGCTTATTAAATGTTTAGATCAGCTTTATAAATAGTTTTTAGAACTCTTAGGATATCATAAATTTTCTCCCACCAAGGTAGATTTTTCCCCCCACTATGCTATACTTTATATGCCCATGATTATTTTGTAACTACCAATATGTACTATTTAATCCTTTCCCCTTTATCACTCATTCCTCCTACCCCCACTTCCCATCTGGCAACCGTCAAATTTTCTCTGTATCTATGAGTTTGTTTTTATTTTGTTTATTTGTTTATTTTGGTTTTTTAGATTCTACATATAAGCGAAATGATGCAACATTTGTCTTTCTCTGTGTGACTTATTTCATTCAGCACAATACCCTCTATCTGGGTTCATCCATGTTGTTGCAGATGGCAAGATTTCATTCTTTTTTATGGCTGAGTTATATTCTGTTGTATATATTCACCACTTCTTTATCATTCATCTATTGATGGACACTTAGGTTGTTTCCATGTCTTAGCTGCTGCAGTAAACATGGATGTGTACATGTTTTCAGTTTAGTGGTTTGGGTTTCTTTGGATAAATACCCAGAAGTGGAATTGCTGGAGTCTCCTTTGTCTCTTGTTTTAAAGTCTATCTTGTCTGGTATAAGTATCACTACCCCAGCTTCCCTCCCCCCATTTTCATGAAATATCTTTTTCCATCCCTTTACTTTCGGTCTTTGTGTGTGTTTCGATCTGAAGTAAATCTCTTGTAGACAGCATATGTAAGAGTCTTATTTTATTATCCCTTCTTCCTCCCTATATCTTTTGATTGGAGCACTTACTCCATCTGTATTTAAAATAATGTTGATGATATGTAGTTATTGCCATTTTATTATTCATATATATATATTTTTTAACCCTCACCTGAGGATATTTTTTCCATTGGTTTTTAGAGAGAGTGGAAGGGAGGGGGAGAGAAACATCAATGTGAGAGAGATACATCAATCGGTGCCTACCACACACACCCCGCCTAGGCCAGGGATCAAAACCTGCAACCCAGATGTGTGCCCTTGACTGAGAATTAAACCCAAGACCCTTCAGTCCGAGGACTGATGCTCTAACTACTGTGCAAAACCAACCGGGGCTATTATTCATATTATTTTATCTTTTCTTTTTCTTCTCCTTGAAAAAGTCCCTTTAACATTTCTCGTAATACTGGTTTCGTGGTGATGAACTCCTTTAAGTTTTTCCTGTCTGGAAAGCTCTTTATCTGATCTTCAATTCCAAATAATAACTTTGCTGGATAGAGTAATCTTGGTTGTAGGTCTTTATTTTTTATCACTTTGAATATTTCATGCCATTCCCTTCTGGCCTGCAAAGTTTCTGTTGAGAAATCAGCCAACAGTCTTATGGGAGCTCCCTTGTAGGTAACTAATTGCTTTTCTCTTGCTGGTTTCAAGATTCTCTCTTTGTCTTTAACCTTTGGCATTTTAATTATGATGTGTCTGGGTGTGGGCCTCTTTGGATTCATCTTATTTGGAAGTCTCTGGCTTCCCAGGCTTGTGTGTCTATTTCCTTCACCAGGTTAGGGAAGTTTTCTGTCATTATTACAACAGATAGGTTTTCAGTTCCTTTACTCTGTCTCTTCTCCTCCTGGTATCTTTTAATGCAAGTGTTGGTACACTTGATGTCCCTTAAGTTATCCTTTTTTCTTTTAGCTGTTCTGATTGGGTGTTTTCTGCTACCTTAATCTGCTGAATCACTGATTTGATACTCTGCTTCACTGTTTATTCCCAGTAATGTACTCTTCATTTCAGTTATTGCATTCTTCAATTCTGACTGGTTCTTTTTTATGGTTTCTATGTTCTTTTTTATGCCATTGAAGTTGTCACTAAGTTTCTTGAGCATCCTTATAATCCTTTTAACCGTTGTTTTGAACTCTGTATCAGGTCAATTGCTTGCCTCCATTTCATTTAGTTCTTTTTCATTTAGTTCTTAGTCCTGTTCTTTCATTTGAGGCATGTTTCTTTGTCTCTCCATTTTAGGTGCCTCCCTATTTGTTTCTGTGTATTAGAGCTGTTACGTCTCCTGGTCTTGGTAGAGACGCTTTGTGTAATAGGTGTTCCGGGAGCCCAGTAGTGCAGTCTCTCTGATCACCTGAGCCAGGTGTCCAGGTGTGTCCCTTGTGTGGATTATGTGTGCCCTCCTCTTGTAGTTGAGCCTTGATTGCTATTTGGAGTGTTGACCCTCAGGCTGAGTGGTTATAAGACTGACGGTGACTACAGTGGAGGAGCTATTGTCCGGGGACTGACACCACATAGCAGAATTTGCTTTAGTGGGGCTTTAGTGTCTGTTGAGTCTGCCCTTTGGCTGTGTCATTTGTGGAGGTGGTTAGGTAGGGTACTCTGTTTGGTCAGAAGATGGCCACCAGGTGTGTTAGTTCTGGGGCCTCTTGGGAGGTGCAGGCCAAGGTCAGCTGCTGCCTGTTCCCTGCCTGGGGCCACCTGGTAGGAGCTACAAAGTGATCTTCAGATGGTTGCCACTTGTCCTGGGTTTGGAGGTACCTGGGAGAGGCTAACCTGTGAACCAAGTTTGGCTGCCAGTAGCGCTGGGCTTGGGGCTGCTTAGCAAGAGGTACAGGGCACACTGAAGCCAGATGCTGCTTGTTTGTGGTTCAGGAACCCTTGAGAGATTTTTGGAAAGTCTGCTGCATGAGCCAAGATACGCCATTTGTATGGAAAAGCCACCGGAAGCAGCTTGAGTGGGCCCACAGGGTGGGTGGGACAAGCTCAGGAATCACCAGGGCCCTATGACCAGTGTTAGCCAGGTTGATGGAAACCTCAATGTGGCACCAGCCTTTGTCCACAGGAGAAAGCTCAGCAAAGGGACAGTGGCTTCTGCCAACATTTCTGTCTGGGAGAAAGCTGTCCCTCCAGCTCTCGCCCCAAAGCCAGACTATTCAGTTCCTCACTGTATGTCCCTGGTGCCTTCGAGCTGTTGCTCCAGTGTGGAACTCAAAGCGAATGGGTAATTCCATGCATGGTCCCTTTGAGAGGAACACCTGAGACTCCAGCAGCCCTCCATTTCACTCAGCCATAAGCTCCACCAATTTTCACAACCAGAAGTTACGGGGATTTCTCTTCCTGGCACTGGAAACCTGGTCTGGGACTACTACTCGCTCCTAGGGGGATCTCTGAGATGTCCCTTCCAATTTTTATCTGCCACATGTGGGTGTGGGACCAGCCCATTTCACATCTCTGCCCCTTCTACCAGTCTCCGCATGGCTTTTTATGTATATCCCTAGTTATAGGACTTCTCTTCAGCTAAACTTCAGGCAGTTGTCAATGATGTTCTGTAATTTAGCTGTAATTTTGAAATGTTTATGGGAAGAGGTGAGCACAGTGTTTATCCTGTGTGTTTTTTCTTACAAACTAGTGTATGCTTAATAGAGATGGTGGTGATGTATTATAACCCTTTTAATATCAGTAAATGGTGTTTTGGAGGAAACCTAAAAGATGGACTTAAAGTGTTTTTCAAATATTCTTTAATTACTAATAGCAAGTGTATTAATAGATTGTAGATTATAGACTCCAAAATAAAAGGTTTTTCTCAATCTTGTTTCTAATGCTGTTTCTCAGATCTTTATTCAGTTCAGTGGTGCTGGAAAAGAAATCGGTATGTTCTGTTCTATTATCTATGTTTCAGAGGGTCATGGGACTGATAAGCTATTGAAGTAGAGCTGGGGTGTCTTGAAGTCTAAAAAGACCATGGGGCATCTGTGAGGCCTAGAAAAGTTTGTTTCAGCATTTTAGTTGTATGAGAAATGGTCATTGCTGTGAGGAATGATTATATTTGGTATTGCTTTACTTATGTAATTGTTTACCTTCTGTTTCTAGTCAATACAATTTTAGTCTACTTAGCAGTAGGTTAAGTATTTAGCCTATTTAACACCCAACCTCTATTAAATTCTTGTTAACTCATCAGTTGTCACACCCAGGACCTTGCCTTCTGGTTTCTTAAATCCTAGTATTGTGGATTCCAGACATAGCCTTCTGTCCTGTAGCTGTTTTCCCCTATTTCCTTTATAGGTGTTCGGTGAACTCTCCTACATTTTGACTTTGTTAGCAGCCCTTTTGTCTTTACTTCTTTCTCACCTAGCCTAGAGTGCCTGCTCTCTTATTTGTAACATGGTTGTGACTTTTAGACAGCTCTTTCCTATTGTCCATGAAAGCTTATTTAAACTCAAAGCAGTTCCTCTTGATCAGATTCTCACCTTGTTCACTGGGAGTGGAAGCCAATCAGAAATCAAATCCCTGAACTTTCTGTATCCCCCACAGTCCTCACCTGCCTTGGCAAACACACTCATTTATTAGCTTTAGCTTTCTTTTTCTTCTGTTTTTCTCCAACATCTTCCTCTCCAATCTGGATGCCTTTTATTTCTTTTGCTTGCTAACTACCCGGACTAGAACCTACAGCACAGTGTTAAATGGAAGTGGCAAGAGTACATCCTTGTTTTTTGTCTCTGATCTTAAGAGGAAAGCATGACTTAAGAGTTACCATGACTTCCCAGTTCCTTAGCACCATTAAGTATGGTGTTAGCTGTGGGTTTTTCATAAATGCCCTTGAGCAGGTTGAAGAAGCTCCCTTTGTTTCCTGGTTTGTTGAGTGTTTTTATCATGAAAAAAAACAAATGAACATCTATTGCGATGATCATGTGGTTTTGCCCTCTATTCTATTAATATGGCATATCACATTGTGCCTTTCCATTTTTACTAAGACACCTTTCTAGTTATGCTGGATTCCATGTACTTCTGGATCTTTGGGATCTCTTCTGAGTTTTCCTTTTAACTCTGTGGCTACTTCCCAGTATCCTTCATAGTCTTTTTTCTACATATATTCATTCATTATATCTGATGTTTCCAAGGTTCCTCATTGAGTTCTCAAGTAGTCTAGAAGTTCCTCTAGACTTTGAGTCTGTAAATTATCCCTATGTGATCTAATCTGTTCCTATGGCTTCAGATACTCTAGTATGCTGTTAACTTATAAATCTATGTCACTCCTGAGTCCTACCTCTATTTATTAGACAGCCTCCTGAAAAGCTCCATTTAGATGTCCCCTTGGCATTTTACCCTTAGTTGAACTCATCCTTAAACCTATGCCTCTTCTTATATTCTCTATTTCAAAGAAGTTACCATGACTTCCCAGTTCCTTAAAACCTGAAAATTAAACTCTGGCCAATGTGGCTCAGTTGATTTGGTGTCATCCCATGCACTGAAAGTTTGCCGGTTTAATTCCCGGACAGAGCATGTGCCTCAATCTCCGGTAGGTTGCGTGTGGGAGGCAGCCAATTGATGTTTGTGTCTCTCTCCCCCTTCTCCCTTCCTCTCTCTCTAAAAATCAATAAAAATATTTTTTAAAAACCTACAAATTACCCATGACTTCTCCTACTCCCTCTTCCTATTAGAAGTCACCAAATCCCATCGGTTGTACTCCTTTACTATATTAGGAATGTGTCCACTTCCTTCTACCAACAGATCTAAAGATTAGTTCTGACTTTCATAGTCCTTATCTGGGTTATTGAAGCTGCCCTGACTGGTCATTCAACCCTCAGTTGATCTTTTCTTTCTCATTCCCTGAGTCTGTATTAAGTTCCTTGGGTGCTTCCCTAATGCTCTATGGATACCTCTAACATTATACTCCTCACACTATATGCTTAATCATATGCTTGCTTCCTTGTATCCTCCGCTATACCATAAGTTACTTTAAGAGCAGGGACCACCTCTTAATCATCTTTATATCCTTAGCACTTAGCATAATGCATGACTGTAATATACATTTGTTAGTGGTTTGTTAAATGAGTAAATTAATGAATTAATCAAAAAACACAGTTTAAAAAAATCAGTGTGTGTTGGGAGGCCTGAAGATAGAGCAGTGAATTCTAACTTGGAAGGGTTACATGAAGAGAGATGCCTTTCCATTTGGATGTTTAATTAAGTATGAATAGCAGTTTTGGTGGGAGGGTAGGTACCATTTCAGGTATAGAGGAACCTAAAAGTTCAGATATTCTTTTGAGAACTATTTGGAACATAAGTTTCAGTGGAGGTAAGTTGGGAGGTGGAAAGGTAAATTGAATCAGATTGTTGAAAATCTTTAATAACATACTAAAGAGATTGGCCTATATTCTCTGAACATTGTGAAACTGTAAAGTATTAAGTAAGGAAAAGATGCTCAAAATTTGATTTTGGAAAGTTGTCCCAAAGCAGCAGAATGGATTAGATTGAGATGAAGGATGCTAATACTACTCCCATATAGTAGTCTAGGCAAGAGATAATGAGGACATTTACTAGGACAGAGTTAATATAAAGAGACAGATTTCAGATATTTGCTGGTAGAATTTGAGCTGTGAGAGAAAGAAATGGTAGATTATTTCAAAATTTTTAATGAGAAGTATGGAGTTTTAGGAAGTATGTAGGAGTGTGAGAGAGTGGTTGGATGGAAAGTCCATGAATAGGGGAACCAGGAAAAGGAAAATTTGGAGTTTAGATTATAATGAGTACTGTTTTAGACTCATGTAACGTGAGGTCAGCAGAATCTCCACATAAGGATATGATGCTGGCAATTGGCTCTATGGATCAGGAAAAAGCTGAGGGGTAGTGATCAAGACTTGTGAGTTATTTACATAAAGGTGAGCGTTGAAGCCATGCCAGTAGATAAGGAAATTAGATAGGAAGCTCCTTTATGGGACACCCTGATGCAGCAAGAGGTAAAGTCAGAGTTAGCTGCTTCTCAGTTTTGCCTTAGATAACCATTCACTCCACTCAAAGTCACTGTTTGTGTCCCTTGTGCTAGAAGTTGCTGGCACAAAAATAAGACAGGAGATGATGTTTAGATTCATTTAGAATTTACAGAATATATTTTCAGAGCTTTTACAGAAGCATATGATGGTATATTATACACCAATAGATTTTATGTTTAAAGGAACTCTTTATATTATGTAGTAGTGCTTGAACAGAGTATGATGGGAGGGCTACTTGCAACATAATTATTAAATATACTCATAATGCCCTGTCCAGGTAGCTCACTTGGTTAGAGCGTCGTCCCAATACACCAAAGTTGCAGGTTTGATTCCCCAGTCAGGGCACATACTAGAATCAACCAACTAATGCCTAAATAAGTGAAACAACAAATCAGTGTCTGTCTGTCTGTCTGTCTGTCTGTCTCTCTCTCTCTCTCTCTCTCTCTTTCTCTCTCTCAAATCAATAAATAATTTTTTTAAATAAATATACTTAAAACATTGAGGTATCTAGGCTTTATTGTAGATCAGTGAATCTGAATCTTTGGGGTGAGGCTAGACTTCTCTTTAATTTTCTGAAGTTTGAAAATCACTGATATACATGATGAAATTGCTACTTGATTACATTTAAAAACTGGGATCCTTTTGAGATTGCCATTTTGATGTCAGAGAGTAAAGGAGGCATTACTTTCCATTTGTAACTTTTTTAAATACTAACTTCTATTTTTCCTTTCAGTTGAGTGTGCGAGGAAAAAATAAAAAAGAGAAACTTGAAGATTTCTTTAAAAACATGGTTAAATCAGCAGATGGAGTAATTGTTTCAGGAGTAAAGGTATGATTTTATTTGATTAACAGGAGTATTGGTTTGAGAATTGACTCCTTTTAAAAGGAAACTAGATTAAGAATTTAGATGTACAGAAGATTATATTGGAGTAAAAGAGAAATTTGGACAGTAGAATCCTTAGGCCTGGAAAGCTGGGTCCCCTGCCTTGGGTACACTCTTTAGAATTCCCTTTTCCAAGGGTGAGAGATCTGCAGGTCCAAGGGTATTTGCCCGCCTGGAGCTGACGCCCCTTCCCTCCAAACCAAACTGTACTCCAGTTATGTAGAACCCTGTTTCCTTGGCCAAGTCCCAAGCCTTCCTCCAGGTCCTGCATGGGCTTTTTCCCTGAGTTCATCCTGTAGTGGGTGGACTGTGCTACTGGTGTTTGCACTCCATGGGTTATCAAGGGGTAACTAACTGTGGGACAGCTGGGTAGAGGGAAGACATGGGAGAAGATCAGTGTACAGGATGGATTGTCCAGCCACATGCACATGAAATCCTTCTGGATGCCCTACAGAGCTGCAGCATGGGACACAAAGAGGGACTCGCTCCATTCGTACACTTGCCCTTGGCCTTACAAATGTTAGGGACAGACCTGGATTCAGATTGTGAATTAGAAGAGTGAAGTTGAGGTTTTGATCTTGTCTCACAGTAGATATATGACATTGAGAAAAGTCTCTTTCTCTGAATCTCAGTTTTCCATTTTCAACATGCAGTTGATAATGGCACCTGGCTCACAGGATTGTTGGAAAGAAATGAGATAATATGTGTGAAAATACTTAACAAAGTTAATTACCTAAATAATACCTAATTTTTCTTAACGATGTTCTAAAAATGGTACACAATTTATCTGAAGACTCTTACCATTAAAATATAAGAGGAAAATGCTTATATTACATTATCAAGCAATTACTAAGAGATAAATAATGCTGCTTTGTCATCATTACCTGTTTTATAGATACATTTACAATAAAACTTAGGTGCAAAGTATTGTTTGTTTGATGTACACTTTCATTTTTCAGAGACAGGTCAGTTGATATGTTGACTATGCCGTGTGATGTTTGGTAGCCCTCATTTTCTTATTTCATCTTCACTACAACCCAGCAAGTTAGATAGTGTTATCCCCATTTTTAGTTAGGAAAACTAGTACAGATGAATTACAGATTTAAATGACATTTGCCAGTATTAACTTTGGCTTCTAGTGTTCTGTTGATGTGGGTCTTAAATTACATCATTTCAACTGGTGCTTTTTAAATAAATGATGGGCATTTTAAAAGGGAGGAAAGTACAGTTAATTTTTATTTTTAATGTTTATCTAGCTTTGCTCCAAAAAAAAGATTGAAGACAGTGGTTGATACAGTAATTGCTCCCAGCCTTCTGAAATGGCCCGTAGTATACATAATGGACTGACTTGTCTATCAAAATTTTTTCTTTTTTTCTTAAAAACAGTTGGTCACTCCCACTGGCCATAATGTATTTGTTGAGGTGTGGAGGCAGAGCATGAGTAGGAACACATTTCAGAGTACAAGCTGTGAACGTGAACCATATTGGGAGCTCTGAGCTTTCAGCTGCAAAACCATAGATTTCTTACTTAATAGATAGAAATTCATGTTTATTAAAGTCTGAACTTGTTGGTAAAATCAGTATAACATCTGGTTATTAAGAATAGTGATGCTGTTTCACTGATTATCTTTTATGATTATAATAACAAAATGGTTTACATAGTACACTAACGCAAATAAATGAAAAAAGTTCATATTTTCTTTTGATCCTATAGGATGTAGACGATTTCTTTGAGCATGAACGAACATTCCTTTTAGAATATCATAACCGAGTTAAGGATGCATCTGCTAAATCTGATAGGATGACAAGATCCCACAAAAGTAAGGTTTTTCTCTGTGACTAAAGCTTATATTTTTTAATGGAATAATTACATATAAAGTTATTATGTTATTTACAGTTTGTAAAAGTTTTGATATAGACCAGTGTTTCTTAAACTGTGCTCTATGAAGCCTTTGCTCTGAGACCCTTTTTAGCAAGTCTGTGAGGACAAAACCATTTTCATAATACCATGATGCCTTTTGCCTTTTTCATCGTGTTGACATTTATACTCATGATGCAAAAGCTGTGATGAATAAAATTGCTGGTGCCTTAACACAAGGCAGTGGCATCAAACTGTACTAATAATCACTGTATTCTTTTCCCCCAGTGCATTTGCAGTTTAAAAAAAAAAAATCAATTAAGAATGTCCTTGCCCTAGCCAGTTTGGTTCAGTGGTTAGAGCATTGGCTCGCGGACTGAAGGGTCCCTGGTTCAATTCATACCTCTGTTGCAGGCTTGATCCCGGCCTCGGTCGGGATGCATGCAGGAAGCAACCAATCAATGTGTCTCTCTCACATAGGTGTTTCTCTCTCTTCTCTCTGCCTTCCACTCTCTCTGAAAAGCAATGGGGAAAAAATACCCTTGGGTGAGGATTAAAAAAGAAAAAGCATGTCCTTGAGTACACTTTTTTCCCTCAACCCTTAAGTCAGAGGTGGGGAATTTTGTTTCTGCCAAGGGTCATTTGGATATTTATAACATTATTCTTGGGTCATACAAAATTATCAACTTAAAAATAAGCTATGAAAAAAGCTCCTAGATTTATTCAATTTCGAGTCCCACCTGCAGTTGCCTTGGCAAGGCCAGACCAAATGATTTCTTGGGCCATTCCCCACCCCTGCCTTAAGTGATGAAATAAGAGGTATGCATAAAGTACTTTGTATACTGAAGTATGATGATTCTCTCTAGTAAAGCATTTTAGTGATTGAGTTGCAACTGAGCTAGCTACTTTTTTCATAAAACACCATTTTTTACTTAAAAGAATGGCTGACAGACTATGATTATTTAGACTTTAGTATTTCTTAGACATTTTCCTAAAAATTCACTAAGTAAGCCTGTCACTTTAAGGAAAAAAACTGACAGTATTTGTTGACAATATAAAAGTCAAGCTCTTCAGCAATAATTAGAATTTTGGAAAACTTGTTTCTATTACCATGAGCTTGCTTCATAATAATTAAAGACTTGTCTGAGATTAATGATAATATTAGTGATATTTTTGATCTTGTATACTGAAATGTGTTAGCATTTCAAGTGTGTCAAGATTTGCATTCTTCATTGAACCAGTACTTTCTAAATACATGATGTTATAAAATTGGGTTTGTAAATGATCCATTAAAAATGCAAGGTAAGGCCCAGCCAGCATGGCTGAGTGGTTGAGCATCAACCTATGATCCAGGAGATCGCAGTTCGATTCCTGGTAGGAGCACATGCCCAGGTTTTGGGCTTGATTCCAGTGGGGAGGCATGTAGGAGGCAGCCGATCAATGACAGCGCTCTCATCACTGATGTTTCTCTCTCTCTCCCTTTCCCTTCCTTTCTCTGAAGTCAATAAAGACATTTAAAAAAAAAAAAAATGCAAGATAAGCTAATGGTTTTTTTAACAGCTTTCTTGAGGTATGATTGGTATCAATAAGATGCAGTGTTCAAAGTACACAGTTTGATAAGTTTTGTTTGTTTTTAATCCTCACCAGATGATATTTTTTCCATTGCTTTTCACAGAGAGAGGAATTGGTTTGGGGGGTGGGCAGAGAAACAGTGTATCAACTGGTTGCCTCCCACACTCACCGGACTGTGGCCAGGAATCTAGCCTGCAACCAAGGTACGTGCCCTTGGCTGGAATCAAACCTGGAACCCTTCAGTCCACGGGCCAACACACTGACCACTAAGCCAAACCAGCTAGGCCAATTTGATAAGTTTTGACATGTGTGTGAAATCACTACAGTCAAATTAAATGAACTGATTCATCACCAACAAAAGCTTCCTTGGGGCCCTTGGTAATCCCTCTCTCCCACTGAGGCCTCCAGGCAACCACTGATCTGCTTTCTATGTCTATAGGTTAGTTTGCATTTCAAGTGGAATCATACAATGTATACACTTTATTGTCTGTCTTTGAATTCAACAAAATTATTTTGAAATTCATCCATGTTGTTCATATCAATAGTTCATTACTTTTTATTGCTGAGTGGTATTCCATTTTATGGATATGTCATGATTGTTTATCCATATCTGTTGGTGAACATTTGAGTTGCTACTTTTTGGCTATTACTAATAAAGCTTACATAAGCCATTTTATGTGAGTATTTGTATAGACCTATCCTTTCATTTTTCTTGGGTAATACCTAGAAGTACAATGGCTGGATCATGTGGTAAGTATATAACTTTTCTAAAAATTGCCAAATTTTTCCCCAAAATGATTGTACCATTTTACATTCCTACCAGCTGTGCGTGAGTGTTGTTCTTCATCCTTGTTAACAAGGATAATCAGTCTTTCTAATTTTAGCCATTCTAATAGGTCAGTAGTGGTATCTTGATGTGGGTTTATTTTGCATTTTTCTAATGACCAGTGATATTAAACATCTTTTCTTGTGTAAGTCCTCCAATTTTATTCTTCTTTATAAAAGTTGTTTTTGCCCCTCTAGGTAATTTATATTTTCGGATTTTAGAATCAGCTTGTCACTTTCTACAGAAATGCCAGCTAGGATTATGATTGGAATTGTATAGTCTGTAGATCAATTTGGGGAGGATTGACATTTTAAATTGATCTTCTGTACATGAATATGGCATATTCTCCATTTAGTTAGGTCTTTAAATTCTCCCAGCAATGTTTTATAATTTCCACTGTGCAGATCTTACACATCTTTAGTTAGATTGATTCCTAATTATTTTCTGATGCTTTTGTAAATTATGTTTTTTACCTTTCAGTTTTCAGTTGTTCTTTGCTCATGTGTAGAAATACAGTGTATTTTCAATATTGATCTTATATCTTTCAACTTTACTAAGTAAACTCACTAGTTCTGGTAACTTTTGTAGATTCCTTAGTATTTTCTACATAGATGATCATCTACTAATAAAAAGTTATACTTCCTTTCCAGTTTGTATGCCATTTCTTTCTTTCCCTTTCCCTATTGTCCTATAGTCTACCCTCCACTACAGTGCTGATGGAAGTGGTGAAGGAAGACATCTTTGCCTTGTTCCTTTTCTTCTGGGGAAAGTATTTGGTCTTAAACCATTAATTATGATACTAGGTGTAGGTTTTTCCTAGATGCCTTTTATTAGATTGAAAAAATTCTCATAAATTCCTAGTTTTCTGAGAGGGTTTTTAAAGTCAGGGATGAATGTTGGATTTTGACAAATGCTTTTGCAACTATTGAGATAGTCATATGGTTTTTCTTTTTTAGTCAATTAATATAGTTAATTGCATTGATTTTTAAAATATTAAATCAGCCTTGTTTTGGGGATAATTATCACTTATACCTATGGAGTTTAATGTAATAGAGTACAAAAAGTTTATTTATAGGATTTTAGATTCCCCACTGGAACTAGCCCTTAAAAAAATTACTACTGTTGAGTTTTATTGTGGTATCAAAGAAGAAAATCCACAATTATCTGAAAATAGTAAAAATACCTCTTCCTTTCCCAGCTACACATCTGTTAGAGGCTGGATTTTCTCCACCTAATTGAAGAAAAGCAATATATTGCAGCAGTTTAAATGCAGAGGCATATGAGAAAATCTAGCTATCTTCTATTAAGCCAGACACAAAAGAGATTCACAAAAATGTAACAGTGTCATTCTGCTCACTAATTTTAAAATATATATAGTTATTTTCCATTTGGTATGTTATTTATGTTAACATATAGTGGTTTTAATAAATTGTTATTTTAAAATGAATTAGTAAATATAAAAAATTTTTTTAACCTAAAAAAAATGAGTGCATATTGATTGCTATAACTGGCATAAACAAAAGGTCTTTCAGGTCTTCATTAATTTCTAAAAGTGGAAAGGAGTCCTAAGACCAAAAAGTTTGAGAACCTCTGATACAGAGACAAGTGCAGGGTGCAGTTTATACCTCCAACTGTACCTAAAAGTATGAAATAGGACTAGACAAGGCAGTTGAGGAGGGCGCGACTGGAGGGGGGATTGGCCTGGCGTGCACTCCGCACCTCGAGAGCGTTATTGCGCGTGGATCGGCTGTTTTTGGAAGACTATTGCCCAGAAGAAACGATGTTTGGTTTTCACAAGCCAAAGATGTACCGAAGTATAGAAGGCTGCTGTATTTGTAGAGCCAAGTCCTCCAGTTCTCAATTCGCTGACAGCAAACATTATGAGAAAGACTTCCAGAGCTGTTTTGGGTTGCATGAGACTCGTCCAGGAGACATCTGTAATGCCTGTGTCCTGCTTGTGAAGAGATGGAAGAAATTGCCAGCAGGATCAAAAAAAACCTGGAATCATGTGGTAGATGCACAGGCAGGACCCAGTCTAAACACTACATTGAAAGCAAAGAAAGTGAAAACTCTATCTGGAAACAGAATAAAAAGCAACCAGATCAGCAAACTGCAGAAGGAATTTAAACGTCACAATTCTGATGCTCACAGTACCACCTCAAGTGCCACCCCAGCTCAATCTCCTTGTTACAGTAACCAGTCAGATGATGGCTCAGACATGGAGATGGCTTCAGGCTCTAACAGAATGCCAGTTTTTTCCTTTTTAGATCTCACATACTGGAAAAGACAGAAAATATGTTGTGGGATTATCTATAAAGGCCGTTTGGGGGAAGTCCTCATTGACACGCATCTATTCAAGCCTTGCTGCAGCAATAAGAAAGCGGCTGCTGAGAAGCCAGAGGAGCAGGGGGCCAGAGCCTCTGCCCATCTCCACTCAGGAGTGGTGACTGAGGTTTATGTAGAAGGGGAACAAAAAAACAATTTAAAGTTTAGAAGAAAAAAACCCACACCACAGCAACAAAATGACCCTCTTATTTTTAACCTGGATACCTGCTATTCTGCCA